CTGTATTCAGAATTGCCCCAAACCAGAATCAACTAAGATGTCTTTACATAGGTGAATGAATAAACTGTGGTACAACCATACAGTGGAATATAATTGAGTGATAAAAAAAGATGATGAAGCCATGAAAAGACATGATTGAATTTTAAATGCATATCACTAGGTAAAAGAAGCCAGTCTAACAAGGCCACATAGTATTTGATCTCCAGTTATATGACATTCTGGAAAAGGCAAAACTATAGAAACAGTAAAAATATCAGTAATTATCAGGAGTTAAGGAGGAAGGGGAATTGAATAGATACAGTATAGATTTTTAAGGTAGTGAAACTATCCTGTATGATACTGTGATATTAGATATATAACATTCTCCATTTTTCAAAATCCATAGAAATTTACAGCACAAAAACTGAATCTTACAGTACACAAATTTAAAAATCATTTAGAAAGTTGGAGGACCCCATGAAGGAATGCAGACCATGAAAAGAGAACCTAACTGTATTACAAATATATGAAACAACTTTGCTTTAGAGTGTTGGGTGGGAAAGGGGCTGACCTAAGTAATTCTGGAAAAGACTGGAGTTTGTATGATAACAGGTGAAGTGAAATTCATATTAGCATTATACTGTAGGTGATAAAGTTTTTTACCATGGGGGTATGGCTTAACAATTCTGAAACCACTATGCATGTACATTGGAATTGAACAAATAAGTAAATGGGTGGAGGATGGAGGTGAGGAACTAAGTTTCTCATTGTTGGACAAGAAGTTAGAGATCAACAAGGAGAGGAGGCTAGAATGACCCATGTGTTAAAAGACTAGAACTGGACACATCATCATACACTCATGGTTAGCTCAATATTGATACAGATGTTACATACAGAAACTTTTATAGATATGTGTACATACACTGGTTAGTGTACACACACGTTTCCTTGCTTTGTCAGCTGAGAGGGCCTAGAAGCCATGACACTTCAGTAGCAATAAGTGCACTTAGTGCCCAAATCCTGGTTTCTATTACTAGTCTCTAAAAGAGGATCCAGAGCTTCTTGGAGCAATGGATGATTATAGAAATGGGATGGAAAATATACAAGTTGAGCCTCGAGCCTCTTGTAATGCCAGAAAGTAAAGAACTGCTCAAAATAAGCACAATGTTGGGAGTATGTTAATAATACATAGAAGCCAGATGAAACATCTTTCAATGACCAATGCTGGAAAAATTTGAGCAACAGAGTAAGTAAAGTAGTATTTAATTATAACTCAAAGCATAAAATTAATATCCATGAGTTCATACTGATATAAATAAATGATTTAATAAGTAAATACATAGGGGGAGAATAGACAGATAGCCTATGCAGTAGAATTCCAAATAATCTATGTAGATGCTCTGCCCTCAAGAAAGTGGAGCATAAATCTCTGTCCTTAAATGCAGGCTGCACATAGTGACTCCCTTCCAGAGAGTATTGGACGGAAAGAGGAAGAGAAGGGTAAGTTTACAATGGAGAAATCTGATGCAAGTTCCTTTATCCAGGTGTTCAAGGTCAACGTCAACAGTGATGTAAGGTTGATTGTATGATCCTTGATATATGATAAAAATGGTGCTTAAACTCTGTTGTGTTCCTCACAAAGTTCATAACCTTAGTCTAATCATGGCATAAGAAAAATATCAATTGAGAGACAATCTAAATAAATAAATACCTGACCAGTACTCCTGAAAACTATGTCATCAAAAACAAGGAAATCTGAGACACTGTCACAGCTAAGAGGAGCCAAAGAGACATGGTGAATAAACATAATGTGATATCCTGGGTGGGACTCTGGAACAGAAAAAAGACATTAGGAAAAAACTGAGGAAATCTGAATAAATTATGAGTTTGCTAATAATGTTTCAACATTGTTTCAGTAATTGCAATAAATGTACCATACTAGTGTTAGATATTAATAATGGGAGAAATTGGGTGTGCGTGTATGGAAACTATACTATCTTATTCATTTATCAATCCATTTATACTATCTTATCTCTGTAAATCTAAATTATTATAAAAATAAAGTTTATTTTTAAAAATGAACTTTATTGAGGTATGACTTAATTGGATCAATTTAAAAGATATGAATAGACTTAAAATAGGGATTTTTTAAGGTCATTGTAGATTCATATGCAGTTGTAATAATACAGAGAAAAATCCATGCCCCCTCTACCCAGATTCCCATAGGGATAATATCTTGCAAAATTATAACACAACATCACAACCAGAATATTAACACTGATATAGCTAAGGTACAGAATAGCTCTATCACCACAAAGATACCTAGGTGAGGGGAGGTAAAGGATGGAGAAGAATGTGGCTACAAAAGGGCAATGGGAATGATCTTGTGTTGATGGAACTGTTTTGTATCTTGACTGCGCCAATGTAAGTATTCCGGTTGGGATATTGCAAGATATCACAAGGTATTACCACTGGAGATAACATGGTAAAATGTACACAGGATCTCCCTATATTATTTCCTGCTGGTATTTTCAATCCACCTTAATCCTATTCTGTGTCTTCTTTCTTCCCATAGAATTTATCATAATCTAACATTCTATATAATTCATATATTTATTATATTTATTTTTTACTTTTGTGCCTAACAGAGTATAATTTTCATGAAAGCCTGAATATTTTTACATTTTGTTCCTGATATTTTCCAAGTGCCCATAACCAAGCCAGGCTATATTACGAGTTCAAAAATATTTGTTTAGTAAAGTGAAGATTATAAACATATCACTGTGTTTCCTGATGGTATGCCCAGTCCTGAAGGGTGTTTCCCTCCAAGAGCTCAAGTCTGAACTGCACGGTGTCTCATATTCCTCTTGTCCTGTTGGCAATGAGTTAGCTCTTCTAATACTGACACAGCTCACCATAGGTCTACCTACAGGCTGCTGTTCCTAGGGTCCCTCCTTTCATGAGTATATTCTTGTGGATTCCTAAGAGTGGTTTCTTAGATGGTCTGCATCTTGAACTAAACCTCTGCTTTTAGTCAGCATTAGCTGCCAAGCACTCTGCCTCTCAAACTTTGTTTGCTACCTATTTGAGAAGAAAATATGGGCGTCTTTAAACCTTGACTCCCAAAGTTTTCAATAAGCCTCAAATTAATGCACACTTTCTGCTTTCTCAGAATTTATAGCTTCCTCTTTAAGACAACCAAAGAAGCTGTATGCTTGTCCAACTCATGCTCTGGGATCAACTTCCTCGAGTTATAGGGCTACAGATATATCATGTGTTGGAGCTAGGGTACCCTGCCATTGGGATTCTATCTTCTAATATACGAACCCTGCGACAGCTGTACTCTTACTCAGCATCCTACTGTACAAAAAAAAGATGCCTTTTATTCACTGCTTCCAATTCTTTTCCTAATATTTTGTCTTGAATCAACTCCAATCGGATTTTTATCCCTGTAATTCCATTGAAAACATTCTAGTCAATATTGCTTAGGACCTCTTAAGTTACTAAATCCAATGGCTAATTCCCAGTTTTTGTCTTACTTGACCTATTTGTATTTGACATAATTGCGCACTACACCCTCCTGGAAATAATTTTTTGTCTTGACTATTGGGACACTACACATTCACCAGCATCTAGAAGAGAGCATCGCAAATATTAGGCATTCAAGAAAAGTTGGTGAATTTCAAATCATGCTCTGCCTAGACTGCTTTCAAGGTTGTTTTTACCTAGACATGTGTCACACCCTGAATTCATCCATTCTCACCATTGTTATCTTGCTGCCGCTGCACAGACTTGGGTGATTGCTATTGCTGACTGACCCTCTTCACCTAGTTGCTGCTCCTGCCATTTGGGGAAACTTCTCCAATGCTCACTTCATGGATGTCCTGGCTGTTCACATGCCACTGGTCATTTATTTATGGAACGTCAGCACTCCAGAGAACAACTCAAGAGTTTGCCTGAGTCATTATCTGCAACGTGATAGTATACTTTCAACATAATTATTTGTTATAATCACTTCTTGGGCTTAAGATTCTTGGAACCATAAGGAAATCCCTTTTTAGCATATCTTTGTGTTGATTTAGAAAAGCTTATTGTCAATATGCAAGGAACTCTTGTGCTATATAATTTAGTTCTATGCTCACAGCTATTTCTTCTCCAAGGACACAAAGGTGCTTCTTGGGTGCGGGGTCAAGGTGGGTTCAGTCGTCTTGGACTGACTATGCCTTAATGTTGTTAGAATGCCATAAACTGTACCAATATTTATTGTTCTTTAACTTCAATCTCTATTGCACGGTTGACTCATACTGTTAGACTCTACATTCTTCCATGTTGAATTCACTTGCAGTCCCTGCAGTCTCTTCTCTCATGCCTTCCTCATTCAGTTTTTCAGATGTGCATCTATGCAGAGCATGTAAACCTTTAGTGTACAAAGTAAAATTCTTTGCTAGGAGGTGAATTGCATCTAATAAGGGCCTTTGTGAAGGAAGACATTGCTGAGGTCTAGTCGACACAGACTCAGTCTTCTCCATGTATCTGTCAGATATGTCTAAGAAGATATCTATATGACAAAGTGAAAGAAGGTCTGATTTCATGGAGTAAGGGTGTTTTTATCTCAGTATCAAAGAAAAATGAACCTTTGAGTATCTCCTCGGCTGTATTTTGGGAAACATCATTGGGAAAAAGGCACCATAGGCTTGAATCTGGAGCCTCTCTGGGAAAGCAGTGTTCTGGCACAATCAGTAGGGTCTGAGGCCTGCCTGCATTCCTGGCCTTTAGTTCTCCATTTGAAAAACACTTTATCTTTATGATAGTTGGGATTAGGATCTGCTGCCAGGGACTAAGAAAGTCAAAATGGCAGTTTTGAATACTTGAGAAATACTTGAGAAATGTATTTCTCTCATGTAAAAGTCTGGAGTTTCACACTTCAGAGGTGATACGGCAGCTCTCATCAATGAAATCCTTGAGAACTTAAGCTCCTCTAGCTCACTCTCCACCTTGCTGATCGTGGCTCTCATCCTTAGGTCTGAAGCATCAACTGCATTCCAGGCAGCAGGACAGAGGAAAGGATGAAGAAAAAGCCACAAAGTACAAACTTCAGCACTTTTATAAAGAAGGTTGTTGGAAGTGATCACATGACAATTCTACTTTCACCTCACTGGCTAGAACTTAATCGCATATCATAAGTGGGGAGGCTCAGAAATTTCTTCTTTATTACGGGAAGCTACATTTCCAGCTAAAAATACTGATACTTGGCTGGCTGATTGAATCTAAGAGCCATACCAAGCTTGAAAAGACTGGGTATTAGGATCTGTCTGCCACAAATCTTCTCAGTTAGGCTCCCTTTCGGTTACAAATATGTGTAGCACACTTAGTATTTATAGGTGTGTGTGTGTGTGTGTGTGTGTGTGTGTCTGTATTGTAGTGGTAGTCTTTATAGGAAAGGTGGCACGAAATGTGACAGTGGTTAAAAATATGGACTTGGTTCTGATTAATTTTGCTGTGAATCTAAAGTTACTCTAAAAAATAAAGCATATTAAAAAAAACAAGAACGAGTCAGCAGACCTCATATAAACACTGATTTTTCCACGTGCAAGCTCTGTCTATACCTTGTACAAGTTATTTCACCTCCCTGAACCTCAGTTTACCATTTGTGAAGCAGAAATAACACCAACTCTTCAGATTACTGCAATTTTAATCAATTATATATATATAAATTGTTTAAGCATGGTATTCAATACAAAGTTCAATAAATTGAAGCTTGTATTATTTTGTTATTTATATATACATATAATTATTCATACAAAAACTTACCCATATATCTGCATGGGAGCTGTTAAAACAAGAGTTTCAAAATTGTTGTGGTATTGTATATCAATTTTCAAAGAGATGGTGTGGGTTTCTGGAATGGCCCTAAAGTCAGGAGAGCTGACAACCTTGGGAAATTCACTTACTATTTTCCCTCCCTCCCTCCCTCCCTTCCTTCTCTCTGTCTCTCCCACTCTCTCTGTCTTTGTATTGTGGTATTAAGGATCATGAAAGATAATAGGAATGCAGGTATAGAGTACCTCCTTAGCATCCTTGGCCTCTATACATTACATGTTAGTAGCATCCACCTCACTCATTTGTGAAAATGAAAATGGTCTCTAAATATTGCCAAATGTCACCTAGGGGGTAAAATTGCCCCCAGTTGAGAACCACTACTCTAGGCAATAAGGTATTTTTAAAAAATGAATGATAGAGTTATCAATTTATAATGTGAACCACTTACAAAAATCATACTAAATATGACATAAACTTAAGGCATTTTTCCTTTCTAGTCTCCTGGTGTGTAAAGTTATGTCTTCCAGTAATCACAGATGTATAGTGGAATGCCAAATGAAATGCCGGAAGTTGGAATTGTCTTTTTCTTTCTTTCTTTTTTACTTTTTATTCCCATGACTATTTTATAACTGAACGTTTGCACCTTTTTATCCTCTTCACCTATTTCACCCACCCCTCAGTCCCCCTCTCCTATGGCAGCCACTAGTTTGTTCTCTGTGTTTATGTGTCTATTTCTTTTTCTTTGTTCATTTGTTTTATTTTTTAGATTCAAAATATAAGTGAAATCATATGGTATTTCTTTCTCTGTCTTTTTTCACTTAGCATAATACCCTCTAGGTCCATCTGTGTTATTGCAAATAGCAACATTTCATTCTTTCTTATGAATGAGTGATATTCCATTGTGTATATATACCACATCTTCTTTATCCATTCATCTATTGATGAACACAGGTTGCTTCCATATCTTGGCTATTTTAAATAAATCTGAAATAAACATAAGAGTGCATATGTCTTTTCAAGTTAGTGATATTTGTTTTTTGGGTAAAATCCCAAATGTAGAATTCCTGGGTTCAGGATGCTGGAATTATAAATAAAAAAGGCAACATTCTGTAATACTGAAATTGTTATATGTTCTGCAAAATTCCAATTGTTTTAAATAATCTTGTATGAACTGAAATAATGAAACTGAATGTCATTTATGTGTCCCATCCCTAGGCCTTCTTTTTTAAAAAAATTACTTAAGTATAGTCAACATATAATATATTAGTTTCAGGTGTACAACATAGCAATTCGACACTTATACACATCACAAAATGCTCACCACTAGTGTAGTTGCCATCTGTCGCCATACAAGTTATTACAAACTTTCAGTTATAAAATAAATAAGTCATGGGGATGAAAAGTATAGCATAGGGAATATAGCCCCTAGGCCTTGTAAGTGACCCCATCTCGCCTTTCAACATCTTAGCTTCTGAATACTCATTTTAAGCAAGGGAGGAAATTTTGAGAGGAAGATACTCCTGAATTTTTGTCATTATTCTTGGGGAACTCCCAAGAACATCATCATATCTATTTTCATAAAATAATTGAATTTATGCCTTACGTTTCTCATACTTGAGCCTATAGCCCCACTTAGTGGCTAGTATGGTTCATAGGAAAAGCAAATTTAAGAGCAGTTTTCCTAAATCTAGTAGGAAAACAGATGCTATTTCTATTTTCTGATTTTGTTAAAACGCTTTCTTCATCAAGTACAGCAGAACTATAATCCAAATACCAAACAGTTGTAGTTTCATCTCAGGGAAAAATCATATTCCCCCTTGATAGATATTACTTACATTAGAGTCCTAAGCTCAATAGACCAAAGTAGAGGAGTCAAGGGCAAAGAACAGCTAGTAATAGGATACAGAAGCTTTGCAGAGAGGAGGGTGATGGTGACACCAAGACACGCCACGCAGAGTTTATAAAAATATATTTTGAGGGGAGAGGGCTTTATTATTTTATAATTAAAGTAATACATGCACATTAGAAACAATTCGGAAAATTGTGAAGAATAAGGTAGTATACAGGCGTACCTCTATGTAGATACTTACTTTTCATATTTTGGAGTGTGTGAGTGTGTGTGTGTGTGTGTGTGTACGTGCAAGCTCCACAGCTCCATGTTTTTCTGTCCGAGATCAATAGATAAAATTACACTGAAATTCATTTTAATTACAATTAAGGAACACAATATTCATTATTTATTTGATGATTTTTTTTATAGTTGAAAAATAATAAGTGAGGATAACCAAACATTCTAAGAGAACACAGGGATAAAAAATGAAAAATAGATATTTCACCCACTCAAACACCATTTTTTTCCTCAGATGCAATATTTGTTAGTGTTATTTTGTAATACAATAGACAATATAAATACTATAATTTTTAAATTATACTATATACATATTTGCCCCTTGCATTGCCCCTTTAATGAATCTGAGAGATTTTTACATACGGCCCGCATAGATATGTTCTGTTTTTGTTAATGGCGTATTTTCTGCTGTATGGAGTTACCATACTTTATCGACTGGAGATTCAGTGGTTTTCTCCCTAGAACAGTGCTTTATTATAACCAATTTTGAAACAAACATCTATGTACAGATACTTATGTGCATGTGTGAGTACATCTCTAGTTTATATTTCTAGAAGTAAAATTGCTGGATCAAAGGGAATGTGTGCGCTGAAAGCTACTGTCAAATTGCCTTGCAAAGAGATTGCAACAATAGTGCATACAAGTGGCATAGTATCAAAATCTTTAAACTTTGCTATCTTACAGATAAAAAATGATATTTTGGTTTTCTTTGGGTAAATTCCCAGTAGAAGAATTGTTGGGTCCTATGGTAAGTGTATTTTTAGCTCTTTGATGTAGTGATGGGGTAAGTACACTTACTGCGGTGAGCATTTAGCAATGTATAGAATTATCAAACCACTATGTTGTACACCTGAAACCAATAAAACATCGTCCATCAACTACATTCGAATATAAATAAATAAATAAATATGATTAGCTCAACCAAAAAAGGTGGATTATGGGAATTGGAGGAGCTGATGCATTTAATTGCAAAATTAAGTAAGTTCAACATTAAAAAGTGGTATCTTTGTTCTCATTTCTATTTCTTTCATTGTAAGTGGGTCAAACATATTTTTAATAAGTTTTAAGTTATTCATATTTCTTTTGATGATCATATTATTCATGTCTTTAGCCTATTTTTAACCTATTGGGTTTGTCTTAGTTTGGCTTCTTCTGAAAGTAGAACTTGATACAAGGACTTGGGTTCAGATAGTTTATTTGAGAGATAATCTCAGAAAGCAGGAGTCGGAGAGCTGGTAGAGTGGGACAGAAAGGGAAAAGTGTGGGATTAATGGGCTTAATATATAAATCAAGTAATATAGAAATCAAATGTATGAAGATATGTGACTTGATTGTCTCTCCTACGACCTCTGATGTTTGGTCAAGGACAGAGTGATCAAAGCCATAAAAAGTTCTTACAGCTCATGACCGCCCTCACATGGTTTTGGTGTCCTTGAGGAGTGTCCCACCCTTGGGCTGGACTCAAGGATAGATAATGATCATGTGCTGAACCCCCTACTCAGATTTCTTCAGATGTTCATTTACTCAATAAATATGAGGAGTGCCTTCTTGGCATCACTCTTGAGCTGTTACGCCTTGAGTTCCCTGGCAGGTCCGTTCATGTCTTTGATATCTCATCACTTCACCTCCTTAATCTGAGGGTCGGAGACAGGGAGGAGGCCGACAGAAAAGAAGGCAATAAAAGGATGCATGATGCATTGGTTAGGTCACTTAACGTCTTAGGGACAAGGTGGAGCAGACTCACTTCTCCCTGACTCTTCCCATGAGGTACAACTATAAACTCTGAATTTGCAATGCACGTGGCAATCAAGGGCGAACTCTGAAAGTTCACCCTTTCAGAGTGGTTTGGGACTCCCAGGACTAGAGAAACAATGCAGGGGTAAGGTTTGTGGGTTTTTTAAAAAGTTTTTCTAACCCCCAAGTGAGTAACAAGGTAGCCCAGATAGGCTCATTTTTCCCCCGGATCTAATGAGAGCTCCTATGACAATACCAGACAAGCCCAACCCCCACCAGAAAAAGAGATTTATTGGGAGCCTCATGAGGAATAAGTAGTCAAGGGAGGCACTCTCCTTCCCCACTGGACTGGACACCCCAATCCCACACAGGTAGATACTGGGGCAACTTTGGTAACACCTGCAAGAGGGGCTCCATCACAGCAGTCAGCTCATCCTAGAAATCTTTGTCTCCATTGGCATAAGACTCCCCTTCCCCACCCGGAGATACTAGGGCATTAGTAGAGGAATTCCTACAACAATAAGTGCCAAGCCAGAGAAGTACTCACCATCATCCACAGACAGAGGAAAACATGCCAGAACAAACCACTGCCAGAGAAGCCTCTTTGGCTCAATAGCCTGAGACTCCCCTTCCCCACTTAGAAACACCAGGCACCCAGGCCTAGGGAAACATCTTCTGCCACACTGGCAATTACCTGTGGGAGCTTCAGCAGCACCAAATAAACCAGGCAGACAAAATGATACTGCAAAGCCTCTGAAAATAATAAAGTGTCTTTGTAACCACAGACCACAAAAGTAGACAAGGACCTGGGTGCTAAAGCTAGGCAGGGTGCCTGCCTGCTCAGATAAAAAAATGTAAATGGGAGTATTTAACATAATCAATAAAATATGGAGGAAACAACATAAATCTGTCTTACCAACAACTCGGGAAATTAAAACTTGAATAAGAAAAGATAATCAAAAGATAGTAAGTCAAATGTTGGAATCATCTGGACAATAGCACCACAGTAGCAAAAGACATCTTTTGTATTTGTCTCCCTCTGCA